GTGAAGTGTAAACGAAAGAGGTGGTAAAATGCAAGTCAAGTCCAAAGCAAAGAAAATCATAAGTTCCAATCGTAGAGCAAAAATTGCAAAATATGTAATGCTTGTTGATTAATGTTAACAGTTGATGGACACATCGTCAAGGAATAGCTTTGTGAGCATTGCCATGTGGTAATCAATCATCTAAAATGCAGAGAAGACAATCCATTTCACTTTCAGCTTTAATAATTACTGCGCGTGCAGCAACACAATACTCCACTTCACAATGGTTTCATTAATTCGTTAGCCTAATGCCTTCTTTTTCCTATATAGTTTATGCATTTTTTTTTTGTTATGTTGTGTACTTAATATACGAATTTTTACGTTTGGTATCTCTTTTTTCTTTCTTTTGTAAAGATAGATTTGTAGGAGCGTGAGTATTTAAGTTTTCAAGAGAACAGAGAAATGAAAAATATATAAAAATGGCAAAAAAAGTAAAGTAGATCTCGTTTACATTTACACTAGGCAGTTGAATTTACCTACCAGAGAACAAGTCATGTAAATAAAAAATAGAGAATTTTACTAAAACAACTTTACAAAATGATGCTATTATTTGAAAATTACTCAAATAATCTTGAAAAATTATTAATATCCGTTTTAACCTTATTTTTTTTAAGAAAAAAACGTATTTACAAAAATGTCATTAATGAGGCAGCAAATAAGTATATCGTTCATGTGATGGTAGATTTATTTGCGATTGGTAGATCTATTAAGTGGTTTGTAGACTTATTGATGGTTCGCGCAATGGTAGACTTATTTATAGTAGTGATAGATTTATGATATGTGGTAGACTTATTTCTCGTAGTGGTAGAGTTAATTTTGTTATCGGTAGACTTATTTCTAGTGGTGGTAGAATTAATTTTGTGATCGGTAGATTTATTGATAGTTCGCGTAGTCGTAGTTTTATTTATAGTAGTGGTAGATTTATTCTTCTATTTTGAATTATATGTTTTAGCTTAATAATTTATAAAGTATGTTTAGAATTTTCACAGAGTATTTGTTAAAACTTGTGAATTTATTGATTCTTTGAAATATAAATACAAGATTTTGAAATTATACCTTTTAAAATGGGATACAAAATAAGACTTGAAGACTTTTAAAAGATTACAAAGAAATTTAGAGTGAGATTGTAGAGAGAGGTTGTGAAAATTGCTCGTGTCCTGCTTCTGAACCCGAGAGTGGGTATTTATAGGAGAGCAGGCGAATCTTGAATTATTGCTTCAATGACTTTTGCGTATTCACTTTATTTCGTGCTTGCTTCTGATTGGTTTATTGTTTGACTTTAGTCTAAAGTTGATAGGGTGAGTCAGAGTTGTCTGTCTCTTTTTGCTGTAAGGCTGTGATTGATGCCGATATTGCAGCTGGGTCTTCTAGTGGGTCCCGCCTTATCGGATGTCGCCATCTTCTAGAAAGTGGGGTCCTTATGTGGGCAACCTGATCTTCTAGAAAGTCTTGGTATTTGTATCTTGTACCGTTAGACTCTGTATGTTATTTTACCTTACTCTTAAAATCGCTCATGTATCAAAAACTGTATATTACTAGTAGTGATAGAGTTAATTTTTTGATCGGTAGACTTATTGATGGTTCGCGCAATGGTAGACTTATTTATAGTGGTGGTAGATTTATAAAATGTGGTAGACTTATTTGTAGTACTGGTAGAGTTAGTTTTGTGATTGGTAGACTTATTTCTAGTGGTGGTATAGTTAATTTTGTGATCGGTAGATTTATTGATGGTTCGCGCAATCGTAGACTTATTTATAGTAGTGGTAGATATATTTTTGAGTGATAGACTTATTAGTAGTAGTGGTAGAGTTAATTTTGTGATCGGTAGACTTATTGATGGTTCACGCAATGGTAGACTTATTTATAGTGGTGGTAGATTTATAAAATGTGGTAGATTTATTTGTAGTAGTGGTAGAGTTAATTTTGTGATCGGTAGACTTATTTCTAGTGGTGGTAGAGTTAATTTTGTGATCGGTAGACTTATTGATGGTTCCCGCCATCGTAGATTTATTTACAGTAGTGGTAGATTTATTTTTGAGTGATAGACTTATTAGTAGTTGTTGTAGAGTTATTTTGTGATCGATAGACTTATTGATGGTTCGCGCAATCCTAGAGTTATTTATACTAGTGGTAGAGTTATAATATGTGGTAGACTTATTTATTGTAATGGTAGATTTATTCAATATTTTCACTTTTTTACTAAAATAACTTTAGATTTGTTTATAGTAGTGGTAGATTTGTTGATAGTAGTGGTAGATGTGGTAGACTTATTTATAGTCGTAGTAGTGGTAGATTTATAATATGTGGTAAATTTATTTATAGTAGTAGTAGATTTATTTAATAAAGGGTAAAATCGTAATTTACCTTTCATCTTCTCCACAAAACACCAAGTTTCTCTCAAACCCTAACAATGGCGGCCAGCCATTTTTTAGCTCGTTTTTACTGTAATTTGTTTTCAACTAGATTTTGCCTAAAACTAGTAGATCTAACATCATATATCTCTTTTCTAACAAATAATCAAAAGATTTTGAGTTTTTTTCCAACTTTTAATTTTTAATCCAATTTTTACCTAAATTCCGGTGCTTCCGCAGCCTTTACACCTCCGCCGCACCTCTGCCAAGCACGATCCGGTGTTTTTGCAGCCTCCGCGGTCGCGGTTCACAAA